TGTGTTCTGTGCCTGCGACAGGAATGGCGCGGCGTCGCTGCCCCAAGGGGCAGCAGAGAGGCTGAGGGAGGTTGGTGCCAGTTCTGCCACTACCTCAAGCTCCGCTCAGCCGACCCAGTTTCCCGCTTTGCCCTTGCGGAGGAGGCAGAGAGGCATGTGGTATTTGTAGGGCAGCGCTTGGAACAATAGAGCCATCACAGGGTCTTCTTCCCCTCTCCTCAGAAGTCAGCAACGCTCTTCTTCCCTCCTTCACAAAGGCCCTGGCCCAAAAGATCCTCTTGGCCTGGTTTTAGTCCTGCTTTCCCAATAAAAACATTTCATCTGTTCCACCAGGGTTCTCCATGAATCCTGATTTAAATTAAAGTCTCCTCCTTGGGCTCTTACTAATGTTAAAATCCTATTTTCATTATTTTCCAGATAATACTCTTCCATAAAAATGATCCAGACTAGCTATCGGAACCAGTCCAGATATTTTGCGACTCATAGAGACCTTTTGGGGCCCCTGGGTGGCTCAGGCAGTTGGGCATCTGCCTTCAGCTCAGGTCATGGGATTGAGCCCCACATTAAGCCCTCTGCTTAGTGGGAAGTCTGCTTCTCTCTTTCAATCCCCCTCTGTGCTCCCTCTCTCAAATTAATAAATAAAATCTTAAAAAAAAAAAAAAACCATTAGGGACCTTTCACCTGCTTCTGCTACTGCAAATGATTGGACATCCATTTACATTTCCTCTTCCTTCATGTGGGGAAACCTTTTGTTCACCGTGCTTCAGTCTAGACCTGGCTTGAAAGCCTTGAATTACCTTTGTACTATTCCAACTTGCCAAGTGGTTATGGGATCTGAGGGAAGTGTTCAGGCATGGGCTGTAGGCCAGGAGTATATAATCCATTTGGAACCAACTTTGAGCCCCAAAGATAAGGGCATTTGTAGCTGGACCAGAGACAAGGGAACAATGGAAACTAAGATTTCACTCTCTGTGATGATCTTCACCTCCAGCACCACCAATGCGGTAAGTACAGAGGATTCAACTACCCCGCCTTTTTTTCTCTCCATCCAGGCTCTCAGCAAGAGAAATCTAAGTGAGCTAGTCCTCATAGCTGGGGAGGGTATGGCTGCGACTCAGTCTTAGCTCTCTGTGCCCGGAGTGTCTAGGATAAGTCTGTTCACCCAGGCCACAGATCTGACCTCTCTGGGAAGTTGCAGTGCCCCGAAGTGGTAAGGCTATAGGCCTGTGGGGACTGAGGCCTTCTGCCCCTCTTTGTATTTTTATTTAATACTCACAAAGTTCTGTTCATCCTACTTTTTTTTTTTCTTACAGTTTCTGAAAGAAGGACCAAATTCATGCCAAGAACACCCAGATGAAGAGGACCTTCCTGGATCTGTAACTGGGATTAACCAATTCTTTAAGAGAAAGTTGCAATGAATTCTGAGGATAAAGCCAAACGGGCTCATGACTGTTCCTTGAGTACTGACAGCGTAAACAAGCTTCTGGCTCCTCCTGGTCAAGCGAGAAACACTTTTCATTAGGATGTTGTGTTTCTTCTTTGTTATTCAAACATACACCCACACATATCCTCTTCACCCTCCCTAATGAAAAACCTCAGCAGATGGAGAGCCTAAGCTCCCAAGACTTATGGCTGAGGAGATGCGCTTCACTCAAGGGTGGGTTGGCTGGTGCAGAATGGGGGAGGGAGAAATAAATAGCTAGGGTAGGTAATCACTATCTTTTAATACTCCTTACAGATAGAAATTCGAAAAATCCTGTTCAGCAAGGTTAGCAGCCTCTGGGGCCTAGGAAACCAATTTGGCTGATGTGTCTGTGATAGGGACTAGGCCTGGGGCTGCACCAGGGGGAAAGTACTCACTCTATATTCTCTCTCTCTCTCTCTCTCATTTGAAAGCCTGGACAAAGAAATGGTACAAATGGATGGTTAACTTAATGATTCATCAGAGGCGGATTTTTCTCTGTCAGGTCTCTGGATGAGGCTGAGGTCTGAAAGCCAGGAGGCAGAACATTTACTTAATCGCCCTTTCTTACCACCTTTCCAGGGGCCAGGACTACTCTTCAGATGTTTCCTCTGCAACTGCCCCACACCCCTGGCTGGCTCAGTTGGGTCTCTTTACTCCACTCCAGGATGGATCCTGAGTTTCTCCTGGAAGCCAGGGCAAGCTCTCCCTCTGCCTAAATCTCTTTCCCCACCGACACCACCTAGTCAGCAGTGGGCCCTCTGGGTAGCCTCCTCTCCACCCTGCTTTAATTCACGTTTGATTGCCTGGACAGAACAACCGGGGGCTCCCAAACGGCTGCTACCCCCATCCATGGGCCTGGGTTGTTGACTCTGAGCCCTTTCTTCAAGCCTCAGGGGGATCCCCCACAACCTCCCTGACCCCTCCCCTCCCCCCACTTCACCCTTCAGGGGTCTCTGTAGGAAAAAAATAAAAAAGAGCTGATCAAGGCCTGAGCCAAAGAGCCACTTCCTCTCCTGGAGCAGCAAACGAGGTACAACTCCCAGAGACCAAGGCTCAAAGCCGGCCCAGCCCTTCCTCAGAGCCAGGCGCAGGCCCAGCGGTGCCATTGTGAGGCCTTACCCGACGCGGAGCCCCTGGGGAAGCCTCGCACACAAAGGCGCAGGGTTCCCGGAAGCCCTGGCTGCTGCGAGCGCCCGCAACCCCGAGCCGGACAGTGAGGGGCCAGCAGCCTCGAGGCCTTGGTGCGTTCACTATTGCCCCCGATGAGCCTGTCTCGGGCCCAAGTCACGGGCTAGGCTGGAGGTTTCCTTCTCCTGCCAACTTGCCCCTTCCCGCTGCAAGTCACACACTCCCCCACTTCCCTGGGGATGGAGAGGCCTGGGCTCAGGGCGCCATTGCCCAGTCCGGGCTCCCCTCCCCCACTCTCTCCTTTCTCTGCTACTCGGAGATCGGGGAGGGAGGAGGCGGGTGCCTCCGCGGATAGAGCTGCTATTGTGACCTTCCCTCGCCGAGCGGGAACCCAACTGAGAGTACCGCCGGCGGGGGAGGAGGCGATGTGTGCAGACCTCGGGGTGCGGAGGGGGTGGGACTGGGAAATAAATAAAGGTTTGCAACCTTGGGCAGTTGGGCCCTTCAGAGGGCGTTTGGTTGTGTTTAGACTCCAGTGCTTCCTAACACTAATTGCAGGCTCAAAAGGAGCAGAATTTATGGCGAAGGCCAAGGCGGCTTGTTTATAATTTATGAAGTTTTAAATGGCTGTGCCGCAGACCCCCCCTCTCGCCCTGGCTGTCGGCCGCGCGGGAAGCGCCAACCCAGACTCACCACAGCGGCCCCTCCCCCGCCCCCGGGAGCGACCTAGCGTGCCCATCACATGACACTCAGGCCAATGGCACGAAAGAATCCGAGCTATTCTCAGAAGCCTCGGGGAACCTTTCTCCAAAGGTGTGAGAAAGCCGATTTGTCCAAAGCGAACTCCCCCACCCCACGAGAGAGGGGCTCCTCCGCGCCCCCAACCCCGCACTTCTTTAGAGCCTCGGTGTGAGAGGAAGCTGATGTCAGCCGGCCCGGACACCGTTTAAAGTCTAATCCATGAAACCCTAAGCCGCAGATGACACTTGGGGCCTTCGCAGACACCCGCAGACTCAGCAGATACTCCTGCGGTAACACACCGCGCTGGAAAACGCCTGGAGCCATAATGCATTATGTATTTTTATTATTATTTATGGTAGGAAGAGGAGATGAGGGAAAACCGGGCTGAATCTAAACAGCCTGATAATTCATCTATTTAATATTTAGCCAGTTAAGAAAGGTTGTTGTAATCCCTGCAAGGCAGCAAGCTCTTCTTTGACTTCCCTAATAGCTTAAAAAATAATTTCTTACAAGACAATTAGAAATTCTGCCTATGGAAGCAAATCTCATAGAAAACAATTTTAAGCCTTGAAAGTGGGTAAAATATCCCTTCATTTGAAGTCATTTATTCTGTTGATACACTTCTACAACATGGATACTCTAAACCTGCTCAGATAAAGTGAAATTGAGCAAAAGAATAGTCCCCTCCCACCCCCAATCTAACATGCCATTTTAAAAACAGCACAAAGGAACAAGGAAACTAAATATTATTTGAGCCATCATTTAGCGAAACACAAACATCCAGATAGAAACGATTGTTGTTCCACCAGAAGATTAGAAGTTAAATTATTTGCACACAATGGGAATTTCACCTCGTGTCACCGGGGGATGTAGTAGGAGTTGCATTATTTGTCAAACCAAATAGAGATGCGTGGGCCGACGTTGCTGAAATACAAAAGAATCAAACCTTATCTGAAGGCGCTTTCCAAGTGTCTCCTTATAGAGAAGTGGGTGGACGTTGTCCGCCCCTGGCTAAAGCCATGCTAATATTTACAAAATGGATATAAACCCTTGATGACATTTTTGCCCGTTTTGTACAAAGAAACAGGAATAAACAAGGTGTTTATACTTGTTATGTTCCATTAATGAAACTTTTATTACTTTACATCATGGGGCAACGTTTGTTTACTTTAGAAATGAACCACCAACCATTAAAAAGGAAAAAGTCCTGACAGCATTTCCTAGAGAAAAAGCTTAGGTGCGTGTCTCCAAATGCCCGTTTCTTTTTGTGCACCTTAGCTTTTTCATAGCTCAGATCTTCCTACAACTTCACTTGTGTCTTTTCTTTGATTGTCAGTTTTCTTTTAAAGTTTATTTTGTTATTAGCGCAGAAAAGTGAGCGCTGGCCTCCCCAATGTAAATGCAATATAAAAAAAGTCGATTTGTGTCTAAAAAGAGGGTGATGGAAACAGCACAGCAGGCAGAGCACAAAGCCCTACCCAAATTACCCCATCCAGGACGTTTCTAGGCTTGCATCCTCAGATTCCCACCCCCCCCCCAACCCTCAGGTCAATGCTGCAGTGTAATCAAGTATCCCCAGAACCAGCTCGTGTACCAGATTCCAAATAAATGGAAAAAAAAAAATATATATATATATATATCTCAAAGAGTCAGCCTATTGGGGGGCCTTCTACTGGGATTGTGCGAAAGATAAAAGGCAGAGTAATCTACTTCCAAGTGTGCGTGATTAACACAGATACACTTCGGACTGAGAAATTTTTTTATTCTAAATATTTGTTCAAATAGTACCAGACAATTTGAAATCAATAAACTGTGTCGAGTGGTGAGGGCTGCGGCTGTTCAGAAATGAGTAACTGGTGCGGTGCCACGCCGCGGGGCCGCCTGACTCTACCCATGAAGGACAATTTGCGGTCTTAATCCTTTACATCAACTACAAACACCAGCCACGGTTACAACTGTTCAAAAACTACTCTCTCAACTAGTTCAGACCAAGGGGACTAAAGAGGTGAAACGTGGCCCCCGCAGCCTGGGAGCGCGTTCCTAAGCTTGGCTGGAGAATTCTACAAATATACACATAAATACATTAAGACGAGGATAAATAATCAGGGAAACGAAATGACTCGCTTCAAATAATAAATACAGATCGTTGAGTCCGTTGCAATCCTTACGGGACGGGAAGGAGCATATAAATTAAGGTCTCCGCGACTAAGCTAGACTCGGGCCAGGCCCGGGGCTGTCCGGGCGCTGGTCCCTCTGCAGAGCGCGCCGCCGATGGATCTCAGACTTACCTTCGGGACACCATTACCAGATTAGAGTCCCTCGGTCCGCAGTATATGGCACTGTCAGGGTTACAGTGGAGAATCCGTGCGGCTGATTTATGGCGAGTCACCCAAAGGAGGGCGCGCCTGGAGGGGAGGCCCAGTCGCCTGCGTCTCGGCCGCTGTTGGCCCGAGACCCGGGAGGCGGCGACCGGGCCAGGGCGAGGGAGGGGGTCACCGAGCTGCCCCGCGGGCCCCGCCCGCCACCCCCGCCACCAAAGCAAAAGAGGTAATCGCGCCGCGAGTTCTGGCCGGCGGCCGCCGCTACAGATGCGTCAGTTTGGGGGCCTCGGGCAGGCGTCCCTGAGACGAGTGGTGGGCCGAGAGATCTGTGTAGGTGGGATGAGGGTCGCACGGTCCATGGTGATGGTTGCCGGGAATCTGCGCGGCGCAGCTGTAGTCCACGCTGGCCGAAGACGGGTGCGAGAGGTGGCCCAGGTTGAAGACGGGCCCGGACGCGGGCGCCATGGAGTCGACGAAGTTGCCACCCACGTACACCGGGCTGCCCTGCAGGTTGGCGCTGGCGAAGCCGCCGCCGTTGCTGGCCATGGGGTGGGGCTCGAACTCGGGCGCCGCGTAGCGCTTCTGCTGTGGCAGGCAGCTGCTGAGCGGCGCCGTGTAGGCGGCCAGGCCGTACATGTTGGGCTGAGATTTGGCGAAGGCGGGCGGCGAGGGCGCGTCGTAGGCCAGGCCGGGCACGGGCGGGAGCTGGCCGGAGTAGGCCACGTGGCCGGCGGCGCTGCCCAGCGGCGGGCTGCGCTCCGGGGACTGACCTGCCGGCGAATGCAGGATGCCCTTGGCCTTCTGGTCCTTCTTGTACTTCATGCGCCGGTTCTGGAACCAGATCTTGATCTGGCGCTCCGTGAGGTTCAGCAGGTTGGCCATCTCCACGCGGCGCGGCCGGCACAAGTAGCGGTTGAAGTGGAATTCCTTCTCCAGCTCCACCAGCTGTGCACTGGTGTATGCCGTGCGCACCCGCTTGGACGCCGGGCCCGGCGGGCTCTTATCCTCGCAGCTCTCTCCTGGGCAGGAAGGGAGATAGAGGAGATGCTGAGCGGGAGGGGGGGGGCACCCAGGGCCGGAGCAGGGTGCTTCCCTGGCTCCCTTTTCTTCTTCTATCCCTCCCCCAACCTTAATGCTGGCTGGCTGGAGTGGGGGAGGGGGTCGTCTGAGAGGTGAGACTCCTAGCGGGACCTCACACGCCCCTGTCCTACCTATGAGTTGCACCTGAACCCCCCCCCCCTCCAATCTGCCTTCTGAGGTCCGATTCACTCTGCCACCTCCTCCCCTCCAGCCTAGTCCATCATCCTGTCCCTAAGGCTAAGGCTGTGGAGGAGTTTAATGAGAGACTAGTAGCAGCTGGTAAGGCCTAGCCCCCATTCCCAGCCCCCATTAAAGAAGGGCCAGACTTCTTTGAACACTCTTCCCAGCCTCTGCTGGGGGGTTAGGGAGGAAGGCACCCTCCTCCGCCCCCTTGCTCTGGGACTGGCTCCTGGGCAAAGCACTCCAGGAAGCACAGAATGAGGGTGGAGATATGGGCTCCAGCTCAGCTGCACTGAAGGGCTCTGCACCCCAACTCAGGGAACTAATAAACCATAAAAATACCGCCCCACAGTTTCCAGGGCTCCAAGGCCAGCCTGGGTGCATTTTGAGTATTTCAGGGCTAGGACAGCAGTCTCAACCTGGGTTTCCATTACCCTCCTCCCTCAGCAGCTTGTCCCTCCCTCCCTGGTTGTACAAATGGACTTCTCCTGGGAAGGAGGGGCCTGGCTTGTAGCTGGGAAGGAGGGGCGGAAGAAGCTTACAAGCTAGAAGGCACTTTCCCCCTAGGAGCTGCAGCCCCAGAGAGATCCTGGCTAACCAGAGACTTGATAGCAAGCTAGCTACATCCGAGACCTCAAACTAGCCCTAGACCTGGAACCAAATTCATCTACCTGAAGATAAACTGCATCAAAGGACACAAGGCCAGAAAATTTTAGGAGCCAAGCAAGGCTGAGTGAAAAGAGGGAGCAGGCCTTAGAGCTCCTGGGCCTGCCCATCTTCTTCCACATATCCTGAATGGATCCACAGAAGATCTCAACTCTAGGATCTCCCTTTTCAGGAAGAGAACCTCAAGGCTGCTCCCATTTCAGAGCACTTCCTTTTCCCCTGGGATATGCCCCTTCCCGTTATGGATTTGCTGGGATGGGGAGAACTGGGCTGGGGTAGACCAACTAGAGATCATGGCTAGGTCTTGGAGGCGCTGGTTGGATTCAAGTGTGCCATTCTGTGGCTTTGAGATCTTGGGCAACTCACAGTTTCCTTATCTGTAAAATGTAGCTGTTATCATATACCTACCTCAAAAGGGTTTTTTTGAAAATTAAATTAGATAATGCTTATAAAGCATTTAGCCTGGTTGTTAACATGGAACCAGACTAGCACTCCACAGACTTTAGTTTTTGTTAATTAAAGGGAGTGGGATTCCTGTGATATAGGCTACATAAGAACCCATGCTTGGAGAATCATAATACCTGACTTCAAGTTTTGAGGAGCCGTCAGACGGAAGAAGAAGCTAAGTCATGACCAGCAGCCCAAGAAAGCAGATAGAAGGTCAATATAAGAAAAAGGCCACCTAGTCATAACTGTGGGAGTTGTCCAGCAATGGCACCAGCAGCCTGGAATGGAGTGCCCTGTCCCTGTAAGGGCATGGCTCCAATCGGGGACACTAAGAAGAAAGGCCATTTCTGCATGAGTACAAGTGTAGACCTATGGCCTCCAAAGCTGCACTTGCAGCCCCAAGTCTCTTGCTTCCTAGGTGAGCTAGCTTCTTGGGGTCATTCTGGGGGACTTAGCCTAGGAGGAGCCCCTTCAGAGAGCTACCTGCAGTGGCACAGCTGTTCTTCTGCTTGGAGTTCTGTCGGGACTCTTTCATCCAGGGGAAGATCTGCTTGCTGATGGTGGCTGAGGAGCCAGAAGCATTGGGCCCACCCTTGGCCTTCTTGGCAGGCACTCCTCCTCCAGGATTGGTGGGCGAGGATGGGGGCAGGGTTGGTGGTGGAGGAGGGGGTTGTGGTGGTTGTTGCTCTGAGTTCAGGCCAGGAGGCTGGCTACCACCACCCCCACCCTGGCTGTTCCCAGTGCCAGGCCTCATACAGCTGCCATTGAGTTCAGTTCCTTTGTGGGCTGGGGCTCTCAGAGGTGCGGAACTCTGGATGGAACAGGCTGAGCCTGGGTAATCAGTGTCCAGGGAGCTGGCAGCAGCAGGGGGTGGGTAAGGCTGATGGGGGGTGCCATAGCCATAGGTGTCCTTGCTGTAGCCATAGCCTCCGAAGAGTCCTGGGTTTTCATAGTAAGCAGCCTTCTGCATCGTGCACTCAGGAAGTTCCAGGGCCTGCTGACCCAGCTCAAATAACATTGACCACCACTGTCTCTTTCACTTCAGAGGTCTGCCGAACCCTGAGAGGGCTGGGGTAGCCCCAGGCTCCAGGTGACCTGTGAAGAAGAAAAGTGAAAGGCCCCAGAGGGAGTGTAACTGACAAGATAGTCAATATAGAAGGACCAGCTAGCCTGTGCTCTCCTCTGCCTACCCACTTCCTAGGGGGAGGATCTGAGATTTTATGAAGTTCAGCTTATTTGAACTTTGCAAAAGTCAGAAGGAATTTCTCATAAACATAAGGAAAGACCTTTCCTTCTCTTGAGCTCAATTCTATCCAAGAGACGGGGCTTCCTCCCCATCCAGAAACTATTTTCTTTCTTCAAGATCGTCAATTTAGCTTTTGAAATGGCATAGAAAAGCACTTATGGCCTCATACATTTTAATGGCTGAGTCTCCCGCTGGACTTCGAGCTCCTTGCAGGCAAGGACTGTGTCTTATTCATCTATATATTCCTAACACCCAGCCCAGTGCCCTGTCTGTATTAAGTGCAGTAAATGCTTGTTGAATAAGTGAATGTATGGGTCAATCAGTCAATCATTTGGACACCCGAGGGTGTTGATGAAAAAAGAAAGCTCTATAACACACTCAGAACAGCCAGAACTCTCAAAAAAAAAAAAAAGAAAGAAAGGAAGGAAGAAAGAAAGAAAGAGAAAAGAAAAAAAAAAGGAAGAAGAAGAGGAGGAGGGGGAAGAAGAAGAAGAAGAAAAAGTATCTCCCCCACCTGATTTCAAAATCACAGCATCTTTCATGAAGACCCAGATAGTACACTTTCTGGTGACAGGGTGAGAATCCGTCCAGTGAACTCTGTGGGTCAGCCCTGTGAAATGGACTAGGAGATAAAAACCAAGAACACTTAGACTCCCAAACTTATTTTGAGGTTAGAAAATGTTTCTTCTCTTTCATCTACATTTTTCTAGTCTTTACTTTGTCCTCTACTACTTTTAAATGGATACTGGAAAGGGTGAAGAGGTTTAGAATTTGAAATGCTTGGAGCATGAGAGAACATAGGATGCTTTATAATATAACTATATCATTTTTATCTTGCATCTATTGTGTAAATATAAATTATTATTGACCTCTGCTCTGGATCCTCCACGGCAGCCCAACTCCACCCACTCCACAACCAATGAGAGAACTTCCCATGCCATGATGAATGGACCCAGAATTAGAAGAAGAAGAAAAAAAACTAAGAAAAATTCTATCCCTTTTGTGTCCTCTGATTCTTAATGGGGGTTTCCCTTCTCACCCACTCCACCCCCTTCTCCAGACTCCTAAGGAGTTAAAGTATAACTAATACCATTCAACCACTTTTGTCTGCTTGATAAAGAAAACTCATAGGTCAGCTCCCTGGTCTTCAGGCACCTTTCCTTCCTCAAAACTCCCCAGGCTTCCATCATGGTCATCATGATGGACCACGTTGTCTAGACAACTTATGTGGCCTAATGGATTTGACCACTGGGATCAAAACCACGCCTCCATTCACTCACTTCTCCTCCACTTTCACCGAAGAGCCCAATTTTTAAAATTCTTCATATTAGCCTTTGTTTGGTAGTACTGTTGCCCTTTTTGTTTTAAAATATAAGGGAATCTGGCATTTATCTTGTAAAGACACAGGCCCTTTTCAATGGGATAACAGAATACTAGGATGTGTTTTAGGAATTATTTCTTTTATTGTTCTTAAATGTATTCAGTTAAGATATCTACTTAGCAAAGCTGGTCTTAATCTTTCTTTCATTCATTTTCTTGATCATCCTCTGACTATTAAAGTTACTGAATATCAAATGGAAAGTTACATCCTCATCGTGTGACTAGTATTGATGTGTTTGCCCCCAAGCCAAAGAACCGGGTATTCCAGCTTTGTTTCTGGACTTTTCTTGGATCCCGGTTCCAGTCTTAATCCGTGGGCTCTCCGGATGTCAAAATGGTCACATCTGACACTCAGACCACCAGAACTCACTGCTGCTTCTGTCATTTCATTTACAACTGTGGAAGCAAAATACATGCACCCCCCCCCCACTCTTCCTCCCAGGTTGACCAAGTTTATCTCAATAGGTGGACAAATCACATTAAAGTAGCTTCTTTGGCTACTGACCAGGTCTTTGAAAACAGATGGCTTTACATATATATTTGTTCCTATGGCATATTCCTGAAGAAGCTCTGTGTACTGGGCCTCAAAAGTGTAAATACTTGGCAGCTTCATGAATAACCTCAGTGCCTGTTCTCCTGCATCTGTTTTCATTGTCTTAAGGAATTTCAAGGCCTATTCGATGACACCCCAATGTCTATTGCCCCAGAAGCGAGGGGAGCAGCCCTCTCCTCACCAGGAAGGGCTTTGCAGCCTTCCCCCACATCCATATTATAATGTGCCAAAGAAACCAACTGTCCTAAAACAGAACCCGAGAATATTGTTACAAAATTGGTTTAAAAAAAAAAAAAAGGCTTATTTCTTTCCAGAAATCCCTACTCCTTGTGAACTCTGCTTGAACCTAAAAAGCAGGAATGGGTCATAAATCACTTGGACAATGGTCAACTGTTCAGTGGCTCATCTTTTCGATCACCCCCCCCCTTTTTTTTAAAGGCTTTCTTTTTTTTCCGCCCTTTGGTACCTCTGCTCATTTTTGCTCCGGGACCCAAATGCCTTGGGTCTAGCCCCTGTAGGGGGAGGGGTGGTCTGCGAAGTCCTCGCTGCCCTTTTCTCTCATTCCTCCTCCCCTCCACCCCCGGGGCTCCGGCCCGGGCAGCCTCCCCAGAACCCCACGACACAACCCCTGGCCCCTTCTAGGGTAGGGGCACTAAACGGGATCTGGCTCGACCTTTCTCGCGGTCCCGGGAGGTTGCTCAACTCAGCTCAGGGGCCCAACCGCAGGCTGGGAGTGAAGGGCCGAAGGGTCCCCAGCCAGAAGGAAGGCGGCCTCAAAGCGACCACCCCCGGCCGCCTGGGCCGCGCTGGCCCGCCGCACCCGCCGAGCGTCTGAAGCCGCCGAACCCTGATACTTCCTCACTGCACTTAATTCTGCCCAGGATCAATACCTAATATGATACCGAATAAATAAAAGGCGCTCACAGCGGCCAGGGGACGGGGTTATTAAGCAGCTGGAGCTCTCACGGTGCATATCAATGCACCTGTCATTGTGGTTTGTAACAAAATTTATGACTGCAAGCAAGGCGGCAGTAAACGCTTCAGTAAGGAATGAAAAGAAAAACACTTCCCAAGGCCCGGCACTTTTCAGAAGTGGAAAACAGGCTCCGCGTAGGAGGAAGAGCAGCAAAAGAATTCCCTACTCCGCACTTTGGCGGGCCCCGCGCCCCGCGAGCAGAGGGACTATATAAAGTGGCCATTGCCCTCCTCTCGGAGCAGCTCTGCCGGGCGGCCGGACGCGGGACTGGACGCGCGCTGCCTCGCCGGGGGCGGAAGACCTGCTGCCCGCCGCTGCCTGGGGACGCCGGGAGGCTCGCTGGATGCGAGGAGGCCCGCCCGGCGCTCGCTCGCCCGCCGGGGCCGTGAACACACCGAAGGGCTTGGGGAGGGAAGGGGCGGCAGTCGCCGGGCTGGGACTTGATCGGTGGTCGTAGTAAATTACGGACTGGTAGAGTCAGGGCAAGTTGAAAGAGAAGGGGGAGGCGATGGTTTGCCGGTTGTTTCTGTTGTCTCAAATGTTTCTAAGGTTCCAGTTGGCCTTGGCTCCTTTCCCTGTTTCTTCCTAAACCAGGGCCTCGGAAGCCCACAGATCTCTTTTTGGCGGACCAGACTCTTGTTGGGCATCCCCGTTAATTCGCTGGAACATGGCAACGATTCTTGCTCCCTGTTGGCTTTGCTACTTCGGGATTCCGAAACCACCCCTTTTCAGGGTTGCTCCGTGAGGATATATTTGCTGCAGAGCTGGGATAGCTTTCTGCCCGAGGTCTTCCCGGCTCTCAGCCTGAGCCTCTTCTGCCCTATGGGAAGCCCTGAGCGCGCCTTCTAAATCATTCTTATTTAGCCCAGATAACTCAATACGTAATACACCCTGCATTTAAAGCACTGGGTTCACCCCATTAAAGGACCATAAATTTGAAGGCCGATGATCGGTTATCATGTAACGGGCTGCAGTTCACACTGAGGTGATCCACTTCAAAGCCGCCCTTTGTTTTATGTCTTGATGTATGAATCCTGAGATGGCTACTTTGAGTTGTAGGACAGATGGAAATGTAGTGGAAATTATTATTTTTTTAAATCACACTACTCACCACAATTGTGTGTGTGTGTGTGTGTGTGTGTGTGTGTGTGTGTTCTCAAATTTTGTCAGTAACTCTTTTTAGGTTCTTCAGGTTCCTTTTGATATTCTGTTGAGGCAGATCTGGAACAAAATGGAAAACTCTCAGTGGCAGTTGCTTCTTTCTTACCCAAACATGTTGAGAGGCTTTACCCCTTTTAAGGGTGTCTTAATCAATGTGACTATTGTATATGTTGCCCGCAGTCATTCCAGGCGCCTTCTCCCAGGCAGAAAGGAGACTTGGTTGGCTTCTAGAGAGTGAGTGGACTTTAACACAAAGTCTTTGGCGGGGTGAGGGAAGGAAGAGCTCTGACCTGAGGAAAATGCCAGACCCTCAGGCAGGGGATGGGATAAGTGAGTCAAAGGCACAAGAGGAATTAGTTCTCTCCTCCTGCTTCAACCAGGCTCTAAGCACGCCAGGTGCCCTAATCCCCCAGGCCAAGCCCACCCTCCTAGGAGTGAAAGAGAACTTGCAGAATTAGGGCGGGAGGAAGGCTACAGAATAGGGCCCCAGAAAGAAGAGGAGGAATATGTGGATGGGCCTGGGTAGGTCCCAGTCAATGGCTGTCCTACTCAGCCCCAGTGGAAAGGGAGCTGGGCGCTATTTCCTGGTTTGTACATTGTATCTTGAATGGTTCCCCTGAATTTATTTTATTACAGTAGGTACCCACTATATTTCTGGCCTGGGCTGCTCACCCACTCCCGGGTAGGGATTAGGCTGCAAACCATCCAAGAAACAAACATCCCTTCCACCTTCACCCAGAAGCAGACCCAAGCTGCCCACCACTGTGGGTGCCTAACGGGTGCCCGTTCAGGTCAGGCCAAAGGAGAGACACAATCCCCCCTCTTGCGTCTGCCCTGTGCAATTTGTCGACTCAGTAGTTTGCAAACACTAAACCACGCAGGAGAAAGCCCCACACAAAGCGATCCAGTCCCTTCTAAAGACCAGAGCACGAAGCCATAAGCCTTTGAAGTGACCTTTGGCTCACACGGCAATAACTCACCCCTTAATGAACACCCAACGGAAGCGCCTCAGAGAGATCCCGGCCCGGTAGGGCTCCTAATACTGCGCAGGGGCTTGAGCTTCCAAGCCAGCCTCAGGCCCAGGGGGCGGCCCGGAGGGCTGTGCAGCAGGGGCACACTTTACCCAGGTCCTAGAACCTGACTGGTGGGCCCCGAAGCCACTTTATATGATACATTCATGGGAACAGACATCAACTTTTGCCACTTGACTGTTTTATTTTATTTTATTTTATTTTATTTCAAAAAGAGGGTTCTTTGAAAGTAGGATCTTCCCCTCAGAAGAGAGCTAAATTGGGAGGCCACCAGAGCCAGCCCCGTGCTGCCTATAGCTTTTCTTTTCCCAGCCATGGAGGAACAGGGTAAGTGTGCTCCTGGGTGCTCTGGGATGCCCCGTGCACCCTGTGCTCTGGTGCAGGAGGCTTGGGAAGGGAAAAAGAAAAAGGACCCCAAGGGGGACAAAGTTGGGCCACCCTGAGTCCCCGCTGCTTTCTCACGCTTTCCCTGCTCAGCCCACCCACCGTCCAGCCCAGGCCCAACATCAGCCTCCTGCTTGCCCAGAATCACAGGCTGAACCCGGCTGGCTCTGGTCCACCAGCTCAAGTACCCTTTCCAAAGCCAGAAACTGGGGGAGCAGGAGGTAGCCCTATCTGTGAGCTGTCAGCGAAGAGCTGGTCTGAGGCAGACCCGGCCCTATACCCCACCCCCCACCAGCATCCCCCCGGAAAAGTCTTTAGGATAGGGAGCCTTGGTGCGGATTATTGAAATTTTCGGGGAAGTTATAAGTGAGTGCTCCATGGGGCCAAATGAAATGCTGCTCGCAGTAATTGGATTCAGCTGACTAAGTTGGCAGGCATGCCGCTCCAAGGCAGCAGGCGAAGAAAAATGTCCAGCGACTTTAAGTTCTGATGGAGCCAAGAGCAGGCGATTGACAAAACAACTTTCCTCCTCTCCTTTGATGGCGATGCCCTTGGAAGTCAGTCCCTCTCTAGCTGGAGCCTGTCCCCACTTAGGCTAAAGGTCTAATCCTTGCTTTTTGGGACCCTTCCCTACAGAGGCCCAGTCTGGCCCGGCTGTGTGGCATTCTCCTGAGCCCGGAGCTGCTCACTTGGACTCATGGAGCTGCTAACTTGGGCTTTGGACCCGGGAAAAACCCCAGGATGAATTGTCCTGTCCTCCTCCAGCCAGGAGCCACAGGATCCAGTAAACAAAAGGATGCGAGGAATTTAGAAGCCAAAATATGATTTAGCTTTCATCGTAGGTTCTTCGGGGAGAAGAACTCAGGAGCCCTGAATCTTTTCTCTGACACTACGGAAGTCAAAACCTAGATTAGTGAGGGGGCATGTGGAGGAGCCTCTCAAACTCTTCTGAATAGTTTGGGGGTTCTCTTAAATTTGGGGGAGAAAGCCTGAGTAGCACTTTAACCTCTAAAGGAAAAAAATATTAAGCCAGCAGCAAGAGATAAAGGCGTGCGTATGTGGAGCTAGCTCCCAGAACAATGCAGGGAGCTGGCTGGTCACAGAGTTTATTTTAAATACATATAAATCAACCTGCCTGTGCCCAGCCAGGCAGCCCAAGACACGGAATTAATATGACGCTCCATCTTACTTTGGCAGTGACAGTGTAAAAAAGTTTCTTTTTATTCATTTCATTTTCCAGCCCATTCTCGTAACTGCACATTTACCCCCAAAATACTTCCTCCAGCCCCCGACCCCTTCGCCCACCTCTCCTCAAACTGCCACCTCCTCCCTCTCCAACCCTACCATCAGCCACCCCCAAGCCTGGCAAGGTAGTGTGTCCTCCTAACCTTTGGGTAGGCGGGGAGCACCCCCACAAAGCGCATCTCCTTACGATTAATCACCGTCCTCGATGTATATGTAGAAGTGTATCTAGGTCTACGCGGACTGCCTCACCAATTGGCAATAATCAAGATCACAGATTACACAAAATAAATCATATTTAGTATCCCATTCAGGGCAGCAAGCAGCCCGGTGCCCGAAGATTTCCATTTTGTCATGCAATTGCTTACCTGGATCCCAATTTATCATAAACCTGGTGTCCTCGGCCTCAGAGGGGGCGCCAGTGGGGGGCAGAGCTAGCCTTCCCCCTTTGTCTGCAGACAACACTGTCCCAACCCTGGTCTTGCGCGCTCGTAGACGCGGCCATATACCCGAGCACACAGAATTCCCGGTAGAACGGAACCAGGCTGAGGTTCAACTACCAATAAACGCAGGAGGAACGAGTTCGTAGTCCCCGAGCTGGCTTCGCCCGCGCTGCGCGCCCGTCGGTCCACCCGCCCGCCTGTCCGCTCCCAGGCCCAGAGCGGCGGCCACCCGAGCCCCCACCCTCTCCTGGGTTCCTGCCCAGCCCTCCCAGACCCCCCAGAGCTCGGGGTTTGTTTTGCTTTCGGAATGTGGCCCTTTCTGGATTTGGAGAGAGCCCCGGAAACCCCCTCATAGTCGGGAAATACAGACGCTGCCTTCAAATGCGAGCATATTTGTTCACGTGACCCCGAGGGAAGATTGTACTGATTGAGGCTGAAACTTTCACGCCATCCAGCCCCGGAGCGCAGCCAGGCCTGGGGGCTTAGAGGAGGGGCAGGAAGCGCGGGATCTGGGCCCATCCCCCGGAGCAGACACGGGTGGGCATGGAGCGGAAAGAAAGTCCCCATCTCGCTCGGGACCAACCCAGCCCCAGCCTGGCCGCCGGCAGTGGGATGGGGGCGCTGGAGTCTCTCCCCCCACGACCTCTGACCCTGGCCCGGCCTTCCACCGGACTGGCCCACGGACTGGAAATTTTAGAGGCTGCCTCTCAGAGCCGTCTCCGGAGGCGGCTGTGGAGCATCAGAGGCCCAGGGTTCCCTTAGCTCCCCGGCCGGCCGAGCCCGGTACCTCGCATCCGCACGCACCCAGGCAAGCCTCTGCCTAGGCGGACGCGCTGCTCTCCCCCTCCCGGGACGAGACAATTAGTTGTGGCACAGCGGAGGCTCCGGCCCTAAGGTGGGTGACTCCAGCTCCCAGACCAGGCCAGACACCCCGGGGGAACCCCACCCCCCACTCCCACCCCCCACCCTCACCACTGCTCGAGGCCTCGACTCTTTTCGCAGACGCGGCGGCGGAGTCACCACTCCCGAGAGCCAGAAAAGGCGCCTTAGCAGCAGGCCAGACCGGTAGCGGTTTCCCCTCTCCGCGCCTTGCGCACTCCACTCGGGCGCCCGCGGCCTGGAGCCCCCGAGGCGCAGAGCCGCTGTTTGCCGAGACCTGCGCGCCTCCCAACCTGGGCCGGGCCCACGGAATCCGCAGGCCCCACGACTGACAGGCCACGGCTTCCCGCTTCCTGCGGCGCCTCCCAGAAGGCGAGGAGCCTGCGGTATCAGTCCTGGTCGGGCTGATCAGGGAGTCAAGGGAGCTTCTGTTTAGAAAGAGCACATCGGGACCTGTTCCCAGCACTCTCCAAGTGGTCGGGCAGAATTTACCGTCACAACTCTGCGTGTGAGAAAGAGTTAAGCTCCCAGGCAGGGTGAGCGACCAGCCTCTAGGTCCGAGCCTGCCAAGAGCTTCCCCCTCCCCTCGCAGCCCCATGGCCCTTTCCCGCCCGACCTGCACCCTGGAATCCCGCACCACGCGGGAGTCTCCACCCCATCCCTGAAGTATCCTTGTCATGGCCAGTTCTGCTTCTCAGTGGCAATGGGCACGGAGCAGATGCCCTGTCACCGCTTGCAAAGTCTCCAACAGGCGAAAACGAGCGTGAATGTGCTTGGCAGCCCCGGAAGAACCGGGGAGAAGGGGGTAAAGTCCTCCTCATCCCCCCTTCAGAAGCACAGAAGTCCCCGAGGACAGGTCACAGGCTCCAGCCCCTAGACCTGTCAGGGAGCTCCTCCTTTTGTTCACCTGGCTGGGGCTGGCTGGAGGCCCACTCGGGAGGCCTCTGGAGGCCAGACTGTAGGTGCCCCCAGCTCACCCCCACCCGGAGGTTCCTGCTCCCCAGCCTCCCGCCAGGGGCCGAGCAACGGCCCGCAGCAAGTGTTAATCTCCTGCCAAAGAGGGGGGCCGATTTGCGGGAATTTGTCTCCAGGAAAGGATCTAAGCCTTCTTCAATCGGAGCATATGTTCATAGAGCAATAAACCGGAAAGATTTACAGTCCTCGCCCGGCCCCCAACAGCCTCGCACCCTTTCAGGAATTACTTACGATGATTTATCACATCAACCCGGGCAATTGTCACACTGATAAAATAGCCCGGGCCGGTGCCCGCCAAGCCCAGGACTTGGGAGACTGCTGGCTGCCCGGCTGCCAGCGGGTCTGGGCAGGCTTTTGTGGGTTCCTCTCTGGGCCTACCAGGGTATGTTGAGGTGGGTCGGGGTGGGTGGGGTTGGGGAGGGAGGGGAGCAAATTCTCATTGAGAAAAACGCAAGCAGCTCAGAGAAAGCACCCGGAATCTGCGTCGGAGTCGCTTGCAAAGCACATAAACATTTGTCATCTTTGAATAATTGAATTAATGTATTATTGTTTGAATGTATAATTCATAGCGGAGGAAACTTTGTCTCTATCCTGACGGGGAAATATACACAAACCAAAAAAGAAATCAAAACATACACACAATCCCCAAACAACTACCAAACACAGCCAACTCCAGCTAGCGGAAACCATCCTCAAAGCCAACGGGAGCGAAGGAGGCGAATAAAGAGGCTCTCCTCCCCGGCACCGGCCCTGAGCTGCGAGCTGGAGGAGAATGTCCGCTGCTGTCCCAACCGAGAGCCTGGGGCAAGCTGGAGGTGGAGTGGGTGGGGTGGGAGCCCAGGGGCTAGTGGGACCTCAGGGCTCCTTGGAGGGTGGGAGAAAAAAGGCTAAAATGGGAGGCGACAGGACAGACAGCCTTTGCACCACGACTTGGCAACTCCCGCATATCCCTGCCCCAGGCTTCCTTTCGCCCCCGGGGTCTCCTACTCCAGCGGCGGGTACTTCTAACCCGTGCCTTTATTTTAGATCTTCGCCCAAATTAAAAATACAAAAATAAAGGGGACGGAGGGGAAACTCTTTGCGGGGGTGACAGAAGCAGCAGAGCTTGGGTGGGAAAGGAGGGGAGTGGGAGAAGCAACTCGGAAATCATTATCTGTTGGTTAAAACCTGCCTGGGGTAAAATTTCAACTCGATTTTATAGCCTTCTATTATGACGCAAAGAAAAATTTACGACCCTCGCTTGAAAAGAGGGCCGGGGCCTTTTCTCACCGGTTTAAGAATAGGCAGCAGATGCCGTGACAGCGACCATTGTTCCCGGTAGACACAGGCGACCGGGCAACCTCGGCCCGCGTGCGCCAGGCGCGTCCCCCAGCCGGGCGGGTTTTTAACAACTCCTGTTGTTTTGGAGCAGCTCGCGCACACCCTCGCCCCTCGCCCCCTCGCCCCTCGCCCCTCGCACACCCCCACATGCTCACACACACCCTCTCGCGCGCTCTCAGACACACACTCGGCCGCTCTCAGTAATTTTTCATAAGTGCAAAGCTTTGCTGAACCAAAGGTCACCATCCAAGCCACTAACAACTTCTCGCCGGCGCGCGGTTCCAAATCAGGAAGCAAAGGGAACTATTTGTCAGCGGCCCTGACAGCTAAGTTCATTAAGGATTTAAATCTGAAGAAATAAAAGTCGCCAAAATATTTACCTGCTGGCCGCGCTCCCGCGCCCGCCACTGGGGGCCCGAGGGTGGAGGGCTTGGGGGCGCCGCGCGGCCCCCCTCGGCGGGTGATATTCTTGGGATCCCTGCACTTTCCAAGTCGGAGAGAGCCCTTTGCGTGGCAGATTAATGACGACTCCGTGTTTCTTAAGGGACGTGCTGAATTAATTATTTCGCCAATCACGTGGTCGGGACTTGTAGAAATCTATTCTTATCATCTTCCTCGCACTTTGAAAATTCTCCGGGTTATGAAAGGCCCTCCCCCGGCTGCCGGCGAGCCCCGGCCGCCCAGCCAGGCGCGGGGGGCAGGGAGGGCTCCCCAACATGGCGGGCGGGCGGGAAGCGCCGTCTGCCGAGGGTCCCGATTTACTGTACTGTACTCAAGCGGGCTCGGCTATGGACTCGCTTCCTCCTCGTCCCTGCCCGTGATTCAATACACACCACGGTATTGATGTATTGGTGGGCACAGGAGGAGCCATTAACCAGAAGACGGGCAGAGGACAATCATAAAATGTGTCTGAATATTTAAACTTCTGTCTGCACACTTATAAATACACATGTCCACGCGTCTGAGGCGAGCCCTTCCATATATTAAGGACACATGTCTGATTTTATGCATTCTGCTCATTTCCTGTCGCGAGCAAGCCCCCCCTCCCCAGCTATTTTGGGACTCCTGTCTTGGCCCACTCTTCAAGGCCAGGCAAAGACCAGAGAAAGCCCTCGCGTGAAAAAAAAAAAAAATAGCGCACGCCACTTTTTATAGTGGGGAGTGTTTATTGTCGTCTCAGGGCGGAGGGGGCTCCAGAGGAAGGAGGGGCAGGTGCTGGAGCCCCAGTGGGGCTGAACAGCACAGGAAAAGTAGGAGTCCAAGACTGGAGGCCAGAGGGGTCTGGTCCCAGTAGCCACTGGCCAGTCCCAGCTTGGCCCAGAACCCAGCACTCTTCCAGAGTTGGGAGGGGGGAGGGTCGTGCAGGGAAGTCTCTCTCCCACCACAAAACAAAGAGAGACTGAAGGGGTTTAGGGCTAACCCGGGCCACACAGAGAGCCAACCTGAAGCCTCTTTTTAGCCTAGGAAGTTACTTATTTTCCTTTCAAAATAATAATAATAATGCCAGGCAGCCTGAATCCAAGCTTAGGCTTCTCAACGCTCACAAAATATGGTGGCCAAATGGGAGTGTGTACTTGTGGGGGAAAGGTCAATGACAGATTTGCTAACCCTAACACAGTTTAACCTTCACATGTCAGGCACAATGCAGAAAATAATAAAATAAATTGTTAATATCGAACGTTAGCTTTTAGAAGACTTAATGAAGAAGGCTTCTGTGGAGGCACCAAACAGGATGGAAGTTTTGCTACACCTTTTATTATTTCAAATATAGAGCAATGAATTACATCAAAACTACAGGCAACAATTAGTATAAATAATACTTTAATCAGTGGCAGCAGAACAGTGGTCAATTCTACTAAAAAAGCATCTTGTGTGAACAGACACCATGGGGCTGACTGACAATGTCATCTCCCAACAAAAGGCTGCAATGGACAAAGTGAGATGGGAGTCTGAGGAGCAATGTCCTCAGTAAACACTTCACTCCTCCCCAGTCACGACCCCAACACAGTTTAAAAAAAAACACCACCACCAAAACAAACACTTCTGGCTCATATTTGGGGGAACAAACTGGAAACAAATAAAAGCAAATGGGGCACTGCGCCTTTCCACATCTAGGTTTCTCCAGAGTATGTTCCCAGATGGAAACGCATTTCCTTCCCTGCCCTGGGTGGTGGTGGTTGCGGGGGAGGCACTGCTTCTTCCCTGCCCTACTCCTGTGGGCCCAAATGGACGCTGGGGTCCAATTGGGACCACAGGGTTGAGGGCTGCCCCCTGGGCCATCCAGGCTCCATTAACATTTCAAAAGACAATCCCTGGAAACTGAGGAGAACTGAGACTTATAAACAAAGAAGTTGTTTCTCTGACTAAGTTACTTTTCAAAGTAGTGGGGCTATGTTTGAGAAGAAGCTTGGGTTTTCTTCATCAAAACATGCCTCTTGGCTTTCCTGTGGGGTATGAGTGAGGGCAGCTATGCAGTTTTGGCATTGGGTCTAAAGCTGGAGTGAATAACCTGAACTTCTGGGAAGGGGGAAACCTATATAATAATCTTTATAATATATATGTAGTTTGGTGTTGTGAAAATATATCCCTTCCACCCCCCAAGGAGAAGGTTCAATATATTCACAGATTTGGGCTTTAGGAAAGAATCTTAGCAACTTTCCAACTTGCCTAACCATAGCGGCTCTTTTCAAATGCTACTTCCAAAGACTGCTCTCCATGTTAGAGGGGGAAAAAAAGAAGAGAAGGGTAGTTAGAGTCCAAAAGGTTAAGGGTTTAGAGGTCAGTCCTCCCGGCTGAAATACAGCTAATCGAATAGAAAATTTGTCCTCTGGATGAACCTGATTCTGTAATTTAGCCGAACTTCAGTAAAATACCTTTTCAGCTTCTCAACGTGAGGGCGTCAGAAAAAAGACGTCTTGACTATGTATGAACTCTTTGCTTTTTGTCATAGAAACAATGATGCGAATAATGCAGGAATATCCATCTTTAATATCCCGACGTGGTGATATTCAAGTATTGCCATGTGCAAGTCTGAGAGCCAGGCTCACCCCAAGGAGGAACAAAGAGCTGTCCCCAGGGTCTAATACAAAAGACCAAGGCTTGGAAGATACTTTAGAGAAGTGGAATTTCAGCCTAGGGACTCAGTGAATACCTGCTCTCAGCTCTCAGGAGACACCAAAGAAAATGCGTGCAGAAAAAGTCTTTTTTTCCTACCTCCACCTAAATATATTTTTAAAAAATTATCTCCGAACCTTCTGAAGTATTTTGAAGCACTGAAAAAAAATAGCTCCAGGTTTGAATCTCTCTTTCAAGCTCATCCTTCTTCCCCCACCCCCTTTTGCCACTTTTCCGTAGCTACAACCAAGGGGTTTCTTTTTGGAGCCTGAGGCTTTGGGGTTTAAACTTCCAAAGTCTTGTTTCATTTGAGTATATGAACTCTGGCCATTACCTTTGACTCCTTCCCCCTTATCCTTAAGGGTCAGCATTTTAGAGAAATGAGCTTTGAACCCTTCTCAGGCAAGGCATAAGAAAAATGACTGAAGAACATCACTCCTGTTGTTTGAGAGTGATTTTTCTTAAACCACTATTCTTTAAGGCAAGGAAGAGGGCCTGAAACTTTTATACTTTGACAATTTCTGCTTCTAATTAATGTGTTGAGGGAAAACTTCCTTACATTTGTTTAAAAAATAAAAACTTCAGAAAAAAAAACCCTAAGACCAACTTTTGTGGACTTCTAGATTCAATTAGTTTTCTCTCTCTTTTTTAAAGCAAGATTTCCCCTACTTTCCCACTTCCTCCCCACTACATACCCCCTCTCCCATATAGGCTGTACACCAATTCCTATTTAAAAAAACTGCTATATGGGTTATTTGGAATCCAGCATTTGGAATCCAGTTGGAACAGAAAATTCAGTCATTATCTAATGACCCAGAACATAGAGGTTTTGTTTTCTTTCCCCAGAAGGAAAATGTTGGACCATTTGTTTCTTTCTTTCCCCTTTTCTTTAATCACCCAGAACTAGTTGTAAGCACAGTGCTGAAAAAAGCACATGTGGAAATATATTTTCAAGAACTCAACTTTGAGTGGACCCTTTCCTTCCCTCTAAAAGGGTTAAGGGCCCCCTACACACATTTCCGGGGAGTGGGGAGGGGGTGGAGTTCAAAATAACGCTTACAGCCAGAAGTTAGTCCACACATCTCTGATTCTTCTCCCTGAAACTCAGCCCCTTTCACCTTCTTAAGATTTTTGGCATTAAGATGTCAGTTATTTCTGTACCCTATCCATCCCCCAACAAATAAATATTTAAGCAAATATAATCTAAACATAAAATAACCCGTTTCCACTTTCTTCTTAGACTCATTTCTTTGGGCATGGGGCCACTGGGAGCAAAATACTTTTTTTTCACACTGGAAATTATACAGATAACCAACCCAGAAAGTTCAGAAATCCTGGCCCACCTCTCCTGTTTCCACTGAAAGCACCTAGCGCAGGGGCGGGGGGCAAGCTCCTGCCTCAACTCCCCCACGTTATTAAACCACGAAGATCCCTGGAGGGGTGGGGTGGGGGAGAATGTTCAACTTCACACTGAGATAAAGTATCTCACCTTCATTTGCAAATTCAAAATCCAACAGCAGAGATTTTCATAAGTTTAATAACTCGCCAAGGTTTATGTTCTCAGTAGCTCCTGCCATATGATAATGTACTTAGAGAGAGAATCCCGCCCCCCTCCCACCCCGATTCCGCTCCAGGGAGGGGGCTGCCCTCGGGCAGGATGCTAACCTAGTCCGAGGGCGGCCTGCGAGTCCCAGGTCCACCCCACAGTACCTTAGAGCCCAGGGAGGTGACAGCAAGCCTGGCCTGCCCCCGCAGCTTCGGCTCAGCCGGGAGCGCAGGGAGGAATGGGCCCAGGTTCCCCACTTCTATAAGGTCGTCAGATCCGTGTGGTGGTCCTTGGCCAGCGGCTGCAAATGCTGGCCGGGAGCAGCTGAGGAGGAGCAGGAGGAGGAAGAAGAGGAGGAGGAGGACGAGGACCTGCCTTTGGTGTTGGGCAGCTTGTGGTCTTTTTTCCACTTCATCCTCCGGTTCTGGAACCAGATCTTGATCTGGCGCTCGGACAGACACAGGGTGTGAGCAATTTCAATCCGACGGCGCCGCGTCAGATACCTGTTAAAATGAAATTCCTTTTCCAGTTCTAGGACTTGCTGCCTGGTGTAGGCCGTCCGGGACCGCTTGGGCTCCCCGCCAGTGTAGTTGGGGTTCACTGCGAGACAAAACAGACAGCACGGTCAGGTCAGCGCCCAGCCACTCGTTAGGCCCCTTGCCACTGCCGCTCACTTCCTGGCGCGCCCCGAGGCCCCGCGGCCCTCCCCGCACACTCCCCAGCCCGCTCCCTTCCTCCCTCCCGCCCTCCCGTCCTCCCTGCCCCGTGCGCGCACACACATACGCTCACTCCCACCCACCCTCCCACCCACCAACTCCCCCAGGCTCCCCGGGAGGGGATCCCCAAATGTGCTCCCATCTCCCTGGCCCGAGCCACGAGCTCCAGAATGCCCAAGCATTTGGCGATCCCCCTCTCCTCTACCAGGTTCCCTCGCTCTGAAAATGGAGTCCTCCCCCACCCCACCCCCATCTCCACCCCCTTTTTCGCCCACAGCCAAGCAGCCAGCCACATGGTCCCGGCCTGCTCCCTCAGCTATAAAAATTTATGGAGAGAATAATTGCAGGGCCCATTGAAGCCCCACACGCCCCCACCCACTCGCACCCCCTCCCAGGGGCCCAGGCCTCCAGGCCTGGGTGGGGACTGAGAGGTCGCTGGGCCTTGCCTTACCCGAATTCACGTGCACCTTCTTCATCCACGGATAGACCACGGCGGGCTGCTTGAGGGCCGTCCCGGGGGGCGGCTGCTTGGGGCCGCCTGGCTGGCTGCAGGCCCGGGCGCTGGGCAGGGGCGCGGGCGGGGGCGCCGGGGGAGCGGGGCACGGCTCTCCTGGGGTTCCGTAGTGGCCGCCGGGGCCACTCGCTTCTTGCCCGTGACCCCGTGGGGGCAGCGCAGAGCCGGGCCCAGGACCGCCTCCGCCGAAGGTCTGCTCACCGAAGTCGGGCCGTGGGTAGAGCCCCGGGGACTGGAAGTCTGCACCCTGCACGCCAGCACCGTAGTAGTCGGCGCCCTGCTCGCCTAGGTAGCCGCCTTGCAAATACTCCTCGCACGGAGGGAACTTGGGGTCCACATACTTGGAGTTCACCATATACGAACTCATGGCCATTAATTTCAGAAGGTAGAAAATACTAATTTTTCTCGTGTTGTCTTTTTTTCTCCTTCCATAGGGCCCTCCTACTTGCTGTCAACTGAATAAAGTTGGCGGCCATGTGACCAGGCCAGCCAATAGCGAGGCAGCGAGTTTATCACCGGGTTGGTGAGCATCTCATAATTTTCACAAATTTAACTAAATAACATACGTGTACTCAAGTGACTCGCCATGGCACATTCGAAGGCCCCCACCAGATGTTACTGTAGTTCTAGAGTCCCCAGCACCCTCGTTCCTGGCAGGTAATCCCAGCTTTTGTCTGCCACTGACTTTGTTAACCTGGAGTGCCCTCTCCACTGCCCCCACCCGCCTGAAAACAGCCCCCCAAAATGGGTACAGTTCAAGGAGGGGGATGAAAGCCCAAATTTGTCAGGCTGCAGAATACCACCAGGCCGGTGGGTGAGGCAGCCCTGGACTTAGGCAGAGTACCCCAGGCAGGCAGGACTCCCGCCCGCGGGAACGGGGACTCTGCCATACAAAGGCCGAGTCCTGGCTTTGTCTTCGTCAGGGTCACCCAAAAGTTACAACAAGCTGGCTGGCCTGAATCGAATCAGGCAATGAGTAACTGCCAAGCTTTCTGTGAGTGCCTAGGCTGGAGCGTTTCTGGCCAAAGCCCCTCTCGCAGGTATGGCAAGACTGCCACCCACAGCCCCCCCAGCTGCTGCAGCTGAGGGGTGGGCTTGGAAGCCGCGGATGGCACCCTCACCTCACCCAGATGGTCTCCAAAGGACCCTGCACTCCTTCGTCCCAACTGGCTTTTTCCCACATGGCAGTCCCTGACCAGTGAGTCCCCCTCACTGGGCACCCTCTGACCTCACCCCACACTCCCTCCGGGCAGAGCTGGGGCTGGGGCTACCTGGCCTTCCACCTTGCTCCCCAGTCCCCCCAAACCTATCCTTTGGCCCTGCATTCATGCAACCAATTAAAGGATTACACAGGAGCCTCGGAGGGGTTTCTCCAGGCAAAGACTCCATTATGTCACCAGACTCAGCCCATCCTCCTGGAGTCTAAGGTAATAAAACAGAAAGAAAACTGACCCGCGCCCGCTGCCTCTGGCCTCTGTTTCCGACTATGGCCATTTCGGAGAAACATGAAGTTTTTGCATCGACCATATATTCCCCTAGAATCGAATCTGTGACTATGTGGATACCACACAAATTCGGTTCTACAGGGTATATATAGACAACGTTACTAGCTCCGGGTTCCAGCCAGAGTGGGTACCCCGACTGCTGCCAGCCCCGGCCTCTTCCTCAGAGCCATCACGGGCCCGACACGGCCACTCGCACTTTCAGAGAGGGTTCAGGTAGCTTGAAGAGCTTGGTGAAAAATTGCAGCAACGAGTTCCCCATCCTCCGTACCAGGGCCAGAGGGACCGAGCAGCCAAGGAGATGGGACAGTCATCTTAAAAAAGAAGGAAAGGAAAGGAAAGGAAAGGAAAGGAAAGGAAAGGAAAGAAGAAAGAAATAATCCATCCCAGAAATGGCGGCTTTATTACCCGACCCCCTCCAGATCCAAATTACACCCCCTCCCCTTATCAAGTGGTATTTTCCTGAAAGGAGCAAATGCCCTCAATGGCAGAAGAAAAGATGCAAGAGGAGAATATCCTCCACCCATTCTTTTTCCCAGCGCGGAGGCAAGCCAGGTTGGCTGACAAAGCTAGTTCTCACAGAAGTCTCACGTTTACCTTCCTGGGCCCTGTGCCGGGCGGGCCTCTTGGTCCTGAGGCTGCTGCTGCTGCTGCTGCTGCTGCTGCTGCTGCTGCGGACCCCGCGGCAGGCACTGCTTGCAGGCACCGAGCTGCCCTGGGCTAGGGTCGGCGTGCTAATGGTGAAGGGCAGGGCGAGGGGTCATTCGAAATCATTTACAAACATATCACAAAGTTTCATTATTTTTGCTTTGCCGACAGCAGCACACAAGAGTACAAAAGTTCATGAATTGCACCCGCCCCAGCGCCTCAGCGCCGTCTAGGGCTCACCCCTCCGTTTGGGGCACGAAGAACACAGACACACTCAGGGCCCTGCTGGATTTCAGGGGCAGAAGGATGCCTGGGCTCAAGAGGGGGTTTTTGGATCTCTGACCGGAGGCCAGAGGTGTTAAAAATTTTTTTTGATTGTTTTGATTTTCTCCCTTATGATTCAAAAATGAGTTTCAGCCTCAGCCTGAATCTTGTGTGGTAGATCAGGGAAACTCCCCTCTGCGCCTCCCCCCACCCCCACACAGCCTGGCAAAATTGGCTCCCTGCTTCTAGTCTGCACTTTGGACACCCCCCCACACCATCCTTTGGTTCCAGGGCTTTAGCTATTTTATAGGGACTTCCTGGGTGCCAAATCTAAGGAGAGTCTGAGGCTGCCCCACATCAAATGCCCTTGTTGGGGGAGATCCCCCCCCAACCTCCCCTAATGCCAAGCACTCCCACACACCCACCTGCCTGGGGACACTGGACCTAGGCTTTATCCAGACAAATTGGGGGATCCTGCTGGGCTGGGTGGGGACCGGGTGGGGGTACACATTTTCATATTTGTTAGACGCTGTGACCTGCATTTCACCTTATTGCTCCACTTGCTCAGACAGGTCAAAGCCAACGAGTTATTGATGAACAAAAGCGTTAAATATTCACCTCCCGCTCAACTGCCCATACAAATGCTTTTGATCTCTCAGGCTTTTTGTGCAGCTACAGGGTGCCGAATGTGGGTTTGCAAGCGAGGAGCACTGGCAGAGATAAGCACCCAGAGCAGGGGCAGCCGCAGGAAGGGGGCAAAACCAAGGTGTCCTGGGGACACCAGATTTTCCAGCCTGGAGCACAGAGCTGGTTTTATTTGGGCCAGCCTGAGCACTAGAGGGGAAGTATGAACTGGGCAGACTCTCCACTTCTGGGGAGAAACACAGCCTCCAGGAAGTCAACTAGCCTGCCCACCCTGGAGAGCAAAGAAACCTGGCCCAGAGCCAAGCCCTGGCTTCTTCCACCCTGGAGAAAAGGTGTATCAGCAGAGAGGAAGGGTGCCTGGCTTCCACCGCCCTCCTACATTCCATCTCCCATTAAAATAAAATAATCTCCATTTTGCAGTGAGGGAGGAGGTCACTGTTTTCTTCCTTCATTCTCCTGCCACTACCATCACCTTAATGAGATAGTCTTCCTGGAGATTTCACAGGCCTCCTCAGAAATCTACCTGTCTTCGGGGCACATGCAACTCAGAAAGATCCAAACTTCTGAGCTCAGGACTCCAAGCATCTCTGCCCCTCGCTGCAGCCCTCAGCACCACCACCACCAACACGACGTTTGCCTGCAACACCAGCGGCTCTAACGAGAAAATTCTGGAACTGCAGGCTGAGAGGACCAGAGGTGAACCAGAAGGGTCGCATCCCTCCTTCCTCGCTCAGCCCGTGTCCCCAGCCCAGACCCCAAAGCTCTGGGCTGGGGCCTAGGGTGGGGGGGGGCGGAGCGAGGAGGGATTTCCACGTAAAGCTCAGAATTCGCAGCCCTTCACGAAAGCGGACCAACTCCCCACACCCGCAGCCGTAGGGGGTGACGTTTTTCTTTCTTCTTTTTTATTAAAAAACGAGAGAAGAGAAGTTGGGCAAGGCTGGGCAGCGGAGGGGAACCGCGATGCTTTGCCGTTTGGCAGGCTGGTTCGAGCAGAAAGCGATGCTCGCCGAAACTTGTAAATAGGGCGGGCTGCTAATTAGCTGCAAGCTCTTCACAGAAGCGGAGGCAGCAGCGGGGCTGCACCTGTGCGAGCTGGGGAGGCCTGGAGAGGCCCAAGGAGACCAGGGTGAGAGCCTGCGGTGTGTTCTCTTGGTTGGGTGACTGGGAACTAGGCCCCAGAAAAATCTATCCGGGAGCACAACTTGGAGCCTCCACACCCGAAGAGAGCTTCCCTCGCACCGCCAGGCCAGGGCGGCCAGGGCCCTTCTCCCACCCGCCCAGTCCTGTGGGCCGGCCCTTCCGCCAACACCTCCCCAGTTCTCAATACCGCTTCTTCGCAATTCGGAAGAAACGGGAAGGTACTTACAGAGGCAGTCTCGCATGGTCTCGAACCTGTTGCAATGAAAACGGGGGTCACTTAAATTCCACAGGATAATAAAGCAGAGACAGAAGATACACAGAAAAATGACAAGGCCCAGACACCCCACCAATACCCAGACCTCCCCGCTTCGGGTGCCGCCCCCAGGAATTGCGCCAAGTTCTCCGCGGAGCGGGAGACCGCAATCCTCAAGGGCAGACCCAGGGAGTAGGAGAGTATTGGCCCCCATCACCTCCCCCGTTCCATGCACCCTTGGGCAAAACCTTACTGGTTGCTTGGCCCGACTCAGGCAGCCTGTAACAGGGTTTCCCCAGTGGGAAAACGGGAAGCGAGGAGAAAATGGGCCTTTGTGTGTTCCCTTCTGCACAATCAGCCGGGTGGGCGCAAGTTCACCGGGGAGGGGACAGCCGCTGCATCTGTCCCTTGCCCCAGGTCCAGGTCTGGCTCGCTCTGGCGCAATTCAAGTTTCGGGTGGGTTTCAAATTCCCCAGCCCCAACTAGCGCCCCCAAAACCTGGCTTCTCCCCTTTCCAAAGAAGGACCAGGCATGACTAGGACTTGCCTTCCCACTTCTGCTCCAATTCAAAACAAAGAGCAATTTCCAAGGGAAATGAGGACCTAAATGATAACCAAAGGAGGAGGAAAATCGATGGGTTGGAAGGTAAAGAGCAATGCTTTAGATTGTCCTGCAGCTCCATGGATGTGGCAGCATTTTGTCAGCATTGCTACTGGAGAGCCCACAAAGCAATCTTACAAAGCGGTGCTCCTCACAGGGGCTGGTGTCCAGCTTTAAGTTTTCATCTATTCTAGGATGGCAGCCTTCCCTGAGAAATCTCAGAAGCAAAGCCCTCTCCATCCTCATCCTTTCTCTCCCTCCCCTTCTCTCCCCCACTCTCTCACTCTCTCCACCTAGACTACCACTGTTTAATTCCACGTCTGAGACAGATGCTCCATTGGGAGGTGGAGAGAGACAGTAAGTCCCCTTTTGTGAGGTAGGAGCTCTCAGTTCCTAACTTTCTATGTGCAGAAGGGAGGGGAGGATCCCAAGATTCCCATTCCATTTGTTAATTTCGGTTTAGGCTAAAATGAAAATTCACTTCTCTGGGACTTCTGCTCACCCCAGGCAGGAACGACAAGGCAGAGAAATCCCCCACCCCTGGAGCTGTCCTGGAAAAAGTAATAAGGGACTTACTGGTTTTCTCTCCTAGTGGGCAGGGGAACTGGGAGTAGCACTGTCTCCTTCTGAGCCTGGCGCTAGCTGGAGCCTCTCACTTCCCTATCGCTGCTCCAAGAACCAAGCATCTGCACTTGTATGCTCTTAACCTAATTTATGGTGGGAATTATATTTTGGCTTGTCAACTCTCAAGCCATAAAACAAAGTTTATTGGAATCACGTGCTCGTAAATAGCCACTCAGGTCTCATCTCTGCACAACCATAAATAACCTTCGGCTTTAAACTTTTATTCACTAAATAAAGGTTCACTGCAACTGTTCTCTCACATTTAAATAGTTCCAAATATTCAGGATGCAAGGGGGGTCATATTCATATCAATACCCTGGGCTTTTCAAATAGCATCTTTTCAGACAAGTCTGTTTAAGTTGGAAGGTAGTGCTATTTCGAAAAGACTGGTTGGTGGGCATGTCTTATGATTCTTTGGCTGCATTCACTGTGAGTACCTTCAACTGCTTTCTTTCAATCATTTTGTAGCTCTAGATATGGTAAATAAATAAAGAGGAAAATCAAAGGCTACTTCTGACTCCCTTATACCAGGAATTGTTTGAGATTTTGTTCAAACTTCAACAGAATATAGGGTGGTTAGAGAGAGGCTGGGTGGGCTTGGGGTGGGGGGTAGCAGTTGGAGTTAACACTTGGCTCTGTATTGTTGTGGATGGGCTCAGTGAGAAAGGTGAAGGTAGCTACATGCCTAGAGGTTTCTATAATTTGCTTAGCTCTGAAAGGGGAGACTTTGCAAGTGACCAAACTGCTTAAAACAGCAAGACTTGGGGTTTGGTAAAGTGAGAAACTGGAGAATAGCCGCATCGGGATCTTTGGCAACTGAAGCTCTAAAAGAAGG